GATTCTCCTTTTCGGACCTGAAAACTCCACCAAAGATTTGAAAGCCGCACAAATAGATTCGGGCCATCTCACTCCACCGCTCTCCAAAGCCATTCCTTTCCATCTGAATGAGTGCCGTCCGCAGTAATTGTCTGGATGGAATCTGCGATGAAAGGCTCAAAAGAAAAACCCGATATCCCGCACATGAATAACTTCTGTCCATCTGTTGGCCCCGGTTATGTCCTTGGCACATTTGCAATCGTCCGGGAAGGGGGGGGTCATGCTGTATGAGTTTGTGAATGAGGCAGTGACGCAAAAGGCCCCCTTGTGTGGTCAGCCAACTGAGCCATCGGACATTTAGGTAGATGTTCAAGTGAAGATCGTACGATTTTCAGAATGCAGGTGTTTTTTAGCAAGATTTCTACGGTCACAGTGTTATGGCTGTTTGGGTTATTTCTTTAGTCTTAATGTTCTCTGGTTTCAAAACACTATGCAGATGTGCACAGTTATGGTCAGCAGAACTCAGAAGGGGGGAGTGGAAGAGGGGTCATACTAACTATATTATTTCTGTCTGGAGAATGAGAGTAGAGACCAGCTGTCCTCTAGTCAGGTAAAAAGAAAAGAAAATCACAATGAGAAAAATACCAAATGAGTTGAACGACACAAAAATAACACAAGGAGTGCAGTCAGTCTGTTATTGTTGCCATCTTTACAGCAGTTTTTCATTTCTTAACCTCAATAGTAAAGGTCCAAAGAGGGCCAGACTATGAGACACAGGGAAGCAGTAACAAAGCTGGAACTTAACAAACAAGCTAATTCAGGCATTAAACAGAAATGGAGTGATGGAAGAAAAGACACCAGCCTTAAAAAAAAAGCCCACAAATGAAATCATAAATTCAAAGGGGCCTGACTTATGAAAGCAGAGAGCAGGCAATAAACAAAGGGAGAGACGGGATTAAAAAGCGGCTGAGGACTAATAAAGGAAAAACACACTACTCAAACTGAAGGTGACACGGCTAGCAAGAAAGCAAAGCAGCAGAAGACAAAAGAGAGGAGATACTAATTAGTAAAAGCCCAGAGACAGGCATGGAACTGGCAAACATCCGAATAAAAGAGATATATTCAAAACAAGGCAGGATGGGAATAGCCGGACCAACTCGAGAATTCTGCTTCTTAAAAGTATTTCCCAAGTCTCGATTCCAAATAAACCTTTCCCCAATCTCCTTTTTCTTCTTGTAAAGGTGTCCCGTTGTTGGGGATGTTTCCAGGCAGAGGGACTGATTGTTCAGAGACCATTGGGGGATGAGACTCCGCGCTCCGTGAAGAGGTTTCCAGCATGTAAATGAGATGGAGATGGGTCTGTTGAAATGGTAAGCAGAGGAGTTTTTGGGCCCGCGCCAACAAGCCTGCAGCTGGAAGAGAGGAAAGAAGAAAGCGTCAACAAGCTCTCAGCAAACAGGAAGAAGTTAATTAATGGCTTCATGCTGCCAATAAAACTCCACGCTGATGAGTGAGAGGCTTAATTTGCATCTTTAAATCCTTCTGGTGCCCAACAGAAGCTGGAAAGATCAGTAGAAAAATTCAATTTCAAAGGATTGGACATGAAAATAACCTGATCACAAGTTGTTGGATCAATGAAAGCCACTCTGTGATAAATAGAAACGCTTATTGATTAAAAAGACCTGTTTAAAGCTTTTTTTAATGACATTTAAATGAGTATCTGCATTATGATTAGTCACACGTGGAATGCATAATGATGATGAACTTACAATAATAATGACGATTAAAGAATGTCCATAGTTTTCAGATTTAAAGCAGACAGATGTCAAGGTCCGCATGTCATATTTGGGGGGAACATTCAGGTGAAAAGGCCTGAACCACTTTGTAATGGTAGCACAAACAATTATGTGTGTCTCTATAACTGTTTTTTTGCTGGTTAGCAGTAGTGTGTGTTCAGATGATACTTTTAGCAGATTGCTTTTTGGTTCAAACCTGTACGGCTGTATCTATTTTTCCTTTTTGTCTTTACATTGCTTTGTTTAACATATGTACACATATGAATTGTGGAACTGATCATTTCTCTGCAGAGATGAGATCAGAAGGGTGCTCCTCCTGGAGACTTTGATGGGTTAGCATATTCATAGATTTTCATTCCCTGAACAAGGAAGTAGAATTGTTTCAATGCAATTATTCAAATATTTATATGATGATTCATATGAATATACATTTTCTAGACAAAAACATTCAAATGTACAATTTGTAGTAGCATAAATGAGTTGTTAGATCTTTAGTTTAGAGAGTCTTTAGAGCACGATTGTGTAGTTTTACGTGCTATCGTAATGTTTACTATGGTTGGTTAACACCTTGCTCTGGTGCTCGAACTTGACCATTAGGTGTAAATCCAAAGTCTAAAATGCTCCAGACATTGGTCACGTTTAGTAAAATGTAAAAAAAGCAGCTTGCCGTGTGTTTGCATAGTCATGTTATCATGTTGATGAAAGCATGCATAAGCTGCTATGTTTTCATGGGATCATCTGAGAGTAAAAATTGTTCCTGTTGTCACACGGCTCCATCTTTGCATGACAGATCTTTAACGTCCAGTTATGCTGTGTTCACGGTCAGTGATTCCTGGAGGCGTTCCTCTGCGCTGTTATCCGAACCCAAAGATCACACACTGCCAATACAGAGTTTGGCTATCAATATTTTACCTTTCCAGATTCTCTGAATCGTTTAATGTTGTCTACAGCAGATAATAATCACTTCAGTTCAGTTTTGCTCAGAGCACCACATCGCAACAAATGTCATCCCTAAGCATTAACGCAAGAATCTCATTTAAGCCAATTAGAGTCTAAATCATCTTAAATAAATGTCAATCTAATTAAATCTATTCATTTAATTCCAAGTGAATGAATGACCCAATACATAAAAGATTAAATCATAAACAAAACAAAGTGATTTCACGAAAGTCATTTTACACCAAGACGCTTTTCCTTGAAACTGCTCCAAATTTGGTTTGGTCACATTTTAGCAGCACACTAACCCTCTAAGAATTTTTACTATTGAAACTTTGACTATAATATTAATTTCTGATGTAAAATCTACTTACAGCAGGGGCAAGTTGTTTCATTCAAATTCATGTGTGCTTTCTTGTACAGAAAGCTACACTCTCTGATCGTCTTAGAGACAATTGGATGATTCAATCCCACAGAAAGCAACCATGTTACTACAGAGAGAGCGAGAGAGTCACATTCTCAGACGACTGAACTATGACTGCAAACAGTTAATCAGTCTTTGGCTCCTAATCTCCAGGTTGACCTCGGGATCACCTCCCAGTTCTGGCTTCTCCCGGGCCGAGTTCCCAACAGGCAGACTTCCTCCTATATGTGAATCAGTTAAGCTGAATAAACTGACTGGATTGACCCCTGCGGCTACGGGACCAAGTCTGTAAATCTCCCGTGTAGCCCACAGGGAAGCTATTTAAAGATCTGCTGATCAGGCAAAAACACGTTATGTTGGGCAGGCCTCTAGGAGAGTCCCAGATCTGAGTGAAGGGATCAGTTCACAGACCGACACCACGCTGATCCTGAGTAACAGGAAACATTAAGTATCTGAGACTTTTATACCTTTTTCTGGTCAAAAAGGAATACTCTTGAAAAAAGGCTCTGATTACTGAGACATTTCCAGCATATTTTTTGTTTTGTTTTTACCGTTATTGGCTTTCAATCATTAACTTTATGCATAAGTGCCAATAAAAGAAACATGTTGCACATGAATGCATTGATAACTTGCCGTATGGATATTACCATAACCATGAGCATATAGCCTTAAATGTCAAGTATTTATTCCGACACTTATGAGGTGGAAATAATTTGATTTATAGAATGCACTTTTCAGGTTGTGCACAATCAATTCTGTTTAGTAGCACATCTTTGTCACTTTAATATATTAATGAAATAAAAAGTCAAAACTTTAAATCGATGTTTTTTATGCTCAAAGTAAGAAAAGAAGGCTGCTTCTATGTTTAAATGGTTATAGATTAATAAGTTTTATCTCGTGATTGTCGGACGGAAATTCCATATCTTCGGTTGCTGCTGAACGCAGCAGCGCGTTTGCCTGGTAACAACAAGCAAATTCTGCGATTGGCTGGTCTGTCAATGACGTCAGGAGTGTTTGGCCAGGGCACTGGAATGAATAACATTCAGCAGCCATGCAGCATTACAGCGAGCTTATGGGAACTTCAACGTGTGTTGTTTCGACCACAATCAATAAGCAAAAAATAACATAATATGTCCCATTTGAATACTTGTTATTTTAATTTTATGGAGGTTTAATAAAGAAAATGCGACGCAAACTACAATTCCCCTTGTTTAATGTTTGGAGTCTTGAAGCACACGTCACTCACAAGTTTGTTTTTTTTGTCACTGAAAGCTCGTTAAACTAGAAACACGAGTGCCCACTCCTCTAATCTCAGCGACAATATAGTTACTATTTTTCAAGCTATAACTCCTTTTTCTTTTGGATTTTATTTATTTATATTTGTATTAATATGATTATTATTTAATTCAATGCACGCTACAAAGCTGCACCTTTGTAAACGGAGCACATTAAATCATTTGTTGTGGTTCTTTAAAACTGCAACCGAGTGATACCTCCTTACTTATTTATGCGATCTTTGATCGTAAGTCTACCAGATAAAGAAGGAGCTACACTGAGCATGCGCCCGAAGGGTAGTCGAAGAATCCAGTAAATAGAAGCCCGGGGCACGAGCCGAATTCGACGCTGACGTCACGGCCCTACGCGAAAGCTCTGGCTGAGTAGTAAGCGCGAGCTCAGACGGAGGCGCGCCGACGCAACGGTCACTGCTAAGATGGTCTCCAGTTGGTACGGCTCCGCCGCTGTCTGACGGGGGGGGATATATCGTATTCTGGCCGTGGGTTATTTTTTTTTTTGGGCCCTCGCCGCGACGTGAACAAGCCTACGGACATTTTGGATAGTTTCGGACTCGCTCCGAGGGTCACAACATGTCCTCCGCGGCGGTCGCCGCCTCCCGAAGGCAGTCCTGCTATTTGTGCGATTTGCCCCGCATGCCGTGGGCGATGATTTGGGATTTTATCGAGCCCGTTTGTCGCGGATGTGTCAACTACGAGGGCGCCGACCGGATTGAGTTTGTCATCGAGACGGCGCGGCAGCTGAAGAGAGCGCACGGCTTCCAGGAGGGCCGCTCTCCGGGCCCGGGGAAACCCCAACAACACGTCGGGAAGGAGATGAACCACTCGGCCGGGGACCCGGGCTCCCGTCCGCCGCAGCCCCTGGACCGCTACCCGCTCTCCGACAGGCCGCCCCGCCTGGGGCCGGAGTACCAAACGGGCAGGCAAGCCAACGGGCTCCCGTTGCCCAACGGATATCCCAAACCCGACGAGCCGCCGGAGCTGAACCGCCAGAGCCCCAACCCCCGGAGGAGTAGCGCGGTCCCCCCGAGCCTGGTGCCTTTGGTGAACGGCGGCATTTCCGGCGTGCACCCGCTCAACGGTCGCCCGGGTCCGATGGGTCTGCCGGGGGCTCTGGCTCTGGCCGGCCCCGCCGACCACGGCAAGCGGTCGGAGGAGCTGAAGGACAAGCACAGGCCGGACAGCCTGTCGGACGTGCCGGACGGCCACAAGGACTGGATGGGCAAAGGCAAAATGATGGCGCTGCACGCGTTCGACGGCAGGTTCAAGAAGGAGCACGCCGCCATGCAGCGGGTGCTGGCGTACGAGGCCGGTCCCACTTCCTCAAAAACGGGTACGGCCGCTTTTGTTTTTGTTTTGTTTTGTTTTTTTACCCTCTGTCTTCCTTGGAACAAACAAATGCACGGAGGGCCAAACGGGTCTGTGAGATTAGATCGCTCCCCCGTGAGCGTGCATGTGCACGTGCATGCCTGGCGGTGCCACGCTGCTGAACCCGGTCACCCCTCCGTGCACATGGAAGAGCCAGCAGCGAGAAAAAAGAAAAAAAAAATGGCAGCCCTCTCAACTGCTCCCTGTGTGTGGCGTGAGGTTTCCCGTGTTTGTTTCTTCCTGGTCCAGCCTCAAGGCTTGTTTTGAGTGTGTGTGTGTGTGTGTGTTGTTTTGGGGTAAAAGTTAACCCCTTCCTCTCCTCTCCACCCTCCTCCCTTTCCAGACAGGGGGAAGCACACCCGCCCCGTGAAGAGGAAGGCCTCCCCGGAGCCCGATGGAGAGGGCAGCGCCCCCAAGATGAACGGCAGTAGTGAGGGCCAGCCGTGGCTCCCCTCCCCGTCCGAGGTCCTGAAGATGCCCCCGTCATCTCTGTCCGGCTTCTCCTCGGCGCCGCCCTCCACCATGTCCCCCCACTCCCGCACCACCCCCCCGGAAGCGTCCGCCGCCTCCGCCGCCGCGGCGCAGAACGGCCAGTCCCCCATGGCGGCGCTCATCCACGCCACCGACAACATCGGCAGCACGGGCTCCCCCAAGGAGGGCGGCCAGGTCCACTCCACCACGTCCGGCGCCCGGCGGAACAGCGGCAGCCCCCTGTCCCCCTCCCCGGCGTCCCAGAGGAGACTGGCCCAGAGGGAGGGGCCGGCGGGCTCCAACGTGAGCG